GGGGGGGGGAGGAATCACAGTTTGCGGCTCCATCAGCGCCCCCACCTCAGGCCCAATCCCCACCTGGGCCCCATCTGCAGGAGCTGCCCCCTCCCACTCCTTGGGGAGCAGGACGGGGTCTAGGAGCCAACCAGGGCAGCCTTGGGGCTGCTCTAACTCATGGTCTGCCCCAGCACAGGCCTCGGGGGGGGGGGGAGGGGCAGGGGGCAGGCACAGCCCAGCGTGCTCCAGCTACGCCCCCCAAGCCAGGGCCCTAGGCCAGCCTGGGGGTCCTGGGACCAGGCAGGGGAGCCCCCACCTGAGAAGCACAAAGGGGCGTCACCATAACTGAGAATCCCACCCAGGGTGCAGGATCCGGCCCCCAAGAGCCTCCCATTAGTCTTCCCCTCCCCCAATACCCTGTCCCACCCCCAGGGGCGCCCAGCTGCCATCGGGACCCCAGACTGGATCCCAGCGCTGGCCCCTCTGCTCCAGGTGCTGGGGGATCCTTGGGGTGGGGGGGTGGGGGGTGAGGCAGCCTCATCTGTGCAAGGGGGAGTTGGGGATCTCTGTCCCCCTCTTCTAGCCCCTTCCCCTCCCCCCCACCAGCCCTCCCTGGGTCCCCCCCCAGCCGAGCAGACGGTGCAGCCACTAGGGGCAGGGGATTAGCCAACTGGAGCGGACGGAGCCCAGATGCGGGGGAGTGTGGGGGAAGGGGAGGGGGCTGGCTGGGAGCTCCCAGCTTCGAAGGGGGGGCGGGACTGTGGCTTCTCCCCTGCCTCAATTCCTCGTGGAGAGGGGATCGGGGAGGGCAGGGCGGGAGGGGGTGGTAGGCAGAGGGCAAAGACGGAGAAAGTGCGAATGGGAAAATGGGGCTGCGGGGGTGGGGGGGACTGAGGGGCACCGGCAGAGCACTGGGGGGGCTGAGCCCCCTCCCATCTGTCTCCTGCCCCAAGGCCCCGTCCGTGCTCTGGGGGGTGGGGAGGGGGCTGTCCGTATCCAGCTGCTGGGGCCGGGGGTGGGGGGGAGCGAGGGGCTTGGCCATACATGGAACCAGCCGCATTCAGGTTGCCAGCTTGGCATGGGGGGTGGGCACCAGGCCCCAGCTGCTCCCTGTTTCCTTTGCACAGATGAGCTACATGACTCCCCTGCTGGCCCCACCCACTCCACCAGCCCCCCCGAACCCCCAGCCCCCCCACTCCACCAGCCCCCCTGAACCCCCAGACCTGTCCTCCAGCCCCCACCCCACTCCACCAGGCCCCCCAAGCTCCCAGCCCTGCCCTCCAGCCCCCACCCCACTCCACCAGGCCCCCCAAGCTCCCAGCCCTGCCCTCCAGCCCCCAACCCACTCCACCAGCCCCCTAAACCCCAGCCCGGCCCTCCAG